GAAGAGACATTGAACGGCACAAAACACAGACGTTTCTCTTTTTTTTTTCCTTATATATATACACACACACACACGCACTTCGCTTTTATTCGCTTCCTTGCCCGCCACCAAAAATATTACAAACAAAAGACACCTGCTTCTTCCGTTCAACAGAAAGAACTCCGCTGCACAGTTTGAAACTCCTTTTTACTTCACTACGAGATTTCTGATGCAGCAGGAAACGATAAAAACCAAGAAAATTAAGACACTTGCCGTTAAGAGGTTCACCCCAAGCACTGAGGAGCCCGCCTTTGGCGGGAGCAGGAAGCTTCGCGTAAGGGTGGTGGTGGCGAAGAGCCGAAACGTGACGGCTGCAAAGAGAGCAGACACCAAGGCAAAGTTGACCCAGGGATATCCCCCCGGCACCACCCGAATCAGCTTCTTCGGACTCCCATTCAACCCCGTGGTGGCCATCCAAATATGGTACTGCGCAATGTACGACTCCAAGGTCACCTTTCCCAGAGCCGCAAACAACCCAATATGATGCATACGCGCACGTTGGAAAAGGTTTCTCAAAACAATGTAAATCGTAATGGGGATAAAGGAAGTGTAGGGATGAACTCTATTGTACTCCAATTTTGGAGCAAGATAAACCACCTTCACATAGGCAGCCCCCACCGTCAGGGCAAGAAGAGTCAGGATAAACTTCACTGACCAACTGGTATGTCTAGGTAGTTCGTCCAACCGCTTCAGGCAACTGTCGAAGCGTGGGTGGAAGTAGGCGCAGATCATCCCATAGATCCAAACGTAGTGATCCAGGGACGTGCGAAAAAACCATTCCCACAAGGGATGCTGTTCAGGACGATAGGGGTTATCAAAGCCAACCAGCCAGGTGAATGGGCTCCAAATCACGTAAAAAACGTCCCTTGAGATATCCCACATCAAAAATGACAAAAAGAACAACACGACCACCTTCACACACAGGCCTTTATTTGTACTGTTCAGGCCCTGAAAAAAGTACAGGCTTGCATATACGAACAAGGTAAACAAGGTGTGAAGAGGACAGATGTAATAGAGCATGTATTGATTTCCCAAGGTAAAACATACGGCGGTTACGAGAAAATTGAGCCTCCATTGCATGTCACAGAACCGTTCCAACGAAAAGTCATTTCGTACGTAATAGTAGGAAAAGTTCCCAAAACCTGTCATCCACACATATGCCGCAATAAAAAGTCGAATACAGTTATAAATACTGACGTTGTGAAAGTAGTGGTACCAGAGGAAGAGTACTTGCATCCATCCCTTCCATTCCTCAGTCTGGGGGCGTGACAGGGGAGGCACATGAAAGCACTTCACAGGCGACTCGCATTCGCCATTAACGACTACAGAAGGAGGCTTGGCGCGTTTGAGCGTCAGCAGTGAGGCACCCAAGAGTGTAATAGAGATAAACCAGAAAAAATCCGCATCGTACGCCTTTTCACACCTCGGCAACAGTGTGGTGCGATCACACACAAACATGAATACAAAATACCCGCTGATTTCAGCTCCGCCTCGAAGTTGCATACGAGACCGGGCAGTCATGTACGGTTCCGCCAAAGGATTGATCAGTACAATGAGCCTATCCACGGCGGCCCATGCAGTAATAAAGATGATGAAGATAAATGCCATGATTTGCCCCGAGGAGAGTGGTCCGGTTGGAAACGCCCTGGGAAAAGCGGCCACCAATGAGGCAAAGGCCCACACCGACACCAAGGAGAGAATAAACAGGGCTAGCATCATACACTTGGCTTTTACGCACGTGAACCTCCATTTACCCACGATACTGCAAGGCTCTTCCTCCGCGCTCTCGGCCCGCCCCTTCTGCTTCATAGTCCCCCACCCCGACCCCCCCCCCCCCGCCGCGCGCGAAAAAGGGCTCAGACGCCGACGCAAAGTGTCAAGATGGAGGCCGAAATCTTGTTGCGTCTTGATGTATCTAAATCCACCTTGCGTGCACGGAGAGATAGAGAGATGAAGAGGACAGATAAAACAAAATACTCATACGCAGACAGGCAAAATGAAAGATCTTTAACAACGCTTCTAGTCGCAGACCAAACCATTTGCTGGGCAGAGATCAGTTCTGCACGACTATTCTCTCAACATGTCTGAGAAGTGTATTTTTCTTTATTATGCGTGTTTGCTCCAGAAAAGACTACCATAAATATATATATATATATCATACACATTTATAGTTCATTTTCCTCTTCACGCTTTACTTTATGCATCTGTCGTCCATCCTGTTTCTATTTAGTATTTGGTATAAGGCAGGTCCGGAGCCCCATCCTTACACTCCGAACAGACCGCCCCAAGATCGTCATTCCACCACACCGGCTTTCGTTCGTTACACAGTGCACAGGGCTCAAACGCTTCCGTCTTCGGGGCTCGTTGCAGCCGAGGAGCAACTTTCTTGTCGTATGCTTCCATGCGTAAGATGTCAATAGTGTCCCCCTCCGGTCCAAGATCGATTAGCGGCGCACGCCGTAAAATTTCCCTGACATCGTGAGAATCAGCAACCTTGGCGTCAAGTCGCATAATTTCGTATACTTGATTGGCGTTTTCTGCGGATTTAACGCGGAGAAGATCGCTGCGGAAGTGCTCCACGATCGCAAGACAATATTTGATGAGAAATTTCACGCCACCCTCCATAAAAAGGTCCAGGAACACAAACAGTTCCTCGAAATCCAAGACGTGGATGCAAAGACCCGTGAGCACCTTTTGAAGGTAGGTGTCCGGCCACAGCTTCAACTCCTCAAGGTGCTTCGCCACATCCGGAAACTTGAGCTGCATAAAGGCTTCCACAACCCAGGCGGTGGTGGAAAAACCAACCGCCTCGGCCGCCCAATGGCCTGGAATGTGCTCCCTTGTCACGTACCGGAGCACTGCGGCGGTTTCCTCCTCGTTCAGAACCAGCAAGCTGAGCCCGGCCAAGTAACTCATCGCTTGTCCGTATGCGTTGAATTCGTTATGCATAGCCGATAGGAAAGCAATAAATTTTTTTCGGTGCTCAGGATGAAAAAAGGTGCGCTCTGCATCTTTAATAATCACACGAATCGTCTCTTCATCATCATCCTCGATCCCCACGTACTTGACAGGTTGCAAATAAAATCCAGCCTTCTTCACCCACTTCTCTAGTCTGCCGCGCAGCAATTCGCGGTTCTCCTCAAGGAAACCCTTGTTAAGGTTCAGTAAGGGACACCGCTCTTCCACCTCCTCCTTCCAGAAAAGCGGCATATCAAAAAGCGGCCCAGTGAAATGGGAGGGTTCGCAGTACCTCACCTCCCTCTCACGACTTGGCTCCGTTGCCTTTTCTTCCGTCTTCTTTGCCTGAGCAAAGCCGCCAAATATGGCAGAGACGGGGGCGGATACCGAGGAAGAAGGCGTGGGTTGAGCACCAAACCCAAAGTTTATCGTACCTGACGGCGGCGCGGCGGCCTTGGTGGTGGTGAAGCTAAAGGCGGATCCAAACGGCTTCGGCGTCGCATCAGCCGCGGCGCCGTTGACGGCCTGCGGCTTGGACGCGGGGAGGGATTCTTTCGCGTAGTAGGCGGCCCAGACTCCGGCGTCTGGCTTACCGGACTGATGTTTTATTTCTCTTGCCCGCTTGTAAATAAGTTTCAGCTCTTCGTTGATGAGCTCCGCGTTTTGTTCCACCTTCGCAGCATCCTCAAAGTACTCGCTTGGCAACGCCGCGTAGGACTGGGCAAACGAGGCCAACGCCGGTGCGTAGCCGCCAAAACGGTCAAAACACCCCTTCGCATATTTCGGCTTAAGGCCTGTCAGGGCCATGAAGTCCTCCAGCGGCCGCCGCTGGTCTGCTGCGAAAGGCGCCTTGCTCATCTCCGCCCTTTTGCCTTCTCTTCGCTCGTCCCTCTCTGTGCCTCCCTTCGTCCCCCACCGGACCCAAGAAGAAAGACGAGCATGCACCAGGCAGAACGCATTGCATCAACAGCAGCAACATCAAAAGGACGAAGAGTGCGTGCTTGTGCGTGTGGCGAATACATGCATGCCGCAATCGTCCATGCAACACTCTCAATCCCCCCTCCCCACTTCACACATGCACACAGCAACATCAAAAAAAAAAGCGAAGCAAATAGAAGAAAATCACGTTCAGCTTATCTCTGCGTATATAACAGGGTAGTAATTGGTAGGTGGAGATACCGCTTTTCCACACGGAGAAGCAAAAAAAGAAAAAAAACAACATCACCGGGAGCAACGACAAAAAAAGCAAGCATATAACCCCCCCCCCATCTCCCTCAAAAAGAAAAACGACTACGACTTTAATTGATGCCCGGAAAAAGACAGAACCTGGTTCCCCTTAATAAGTAGATCAAAAAATCCAAAGAGCTCCCTCACGTTGACCACATTCTCGCAAAGAATTTTTATCACGGACTGCATACGAGTATACAGGTTGGCGTGCTCGCCCAAGTCAAGCTGCTTTTTCCCCGACGAAGGGGGCGACTGCAGGAAAGTTTCTACAAGCACGGAGGCGGCCGAAAAACCGACAACCTCCATCGCCCAGCTGGGAGGGATTCTTAGATTCAAAACCAAACGAAGCACCGTGGCAGCTTCCTCTTCACTGAGAACCAACATAAAGAGCCCAGCCAAGAAACTCATGGCCGGCTCATATATCTCAAACTCATTGTACATGGCAGCAAGAAAAGCAACAAATTTTTTGCGGTGATCGGGATGCAAAAAGGTGGTATTCGCGTCCCTGAGAATCAAACGAACCGTCTTCTCGTCCAAATACCGCATCTCAACGTACCGAACAGAATCGCGGTGTGCCGCTGCCGTAGTTACCCATTGTTCCAACCTTTTACGCAGGATAACTCTATTGCGCTCCATCACCTTCTTATCGAGGCTTAAAAAGAAACTCTGCCCTTTCATCTCCGCCTCCCAAAAAGTAGGCATGTCAAGAAAAGGGCCGGTGAAGTGCGACGGCTCACAATAGCTGACTTTTCTCATGCGCTTGGGAGACTGGACAACGGACCAGGATGTCGTCGACGACGCGGGGTCTGCGTAGTAGGCTGCCCAGACCGTCTCTGTATCCTTCCCCAACTGCTGCTTAATCCACCTTGCCCGCTTGTAAATAAGTTTCAGCTCTTCGTTAATGCGAGGCATATTTGCCTTCACAACGTGGCGGCGATCAAAGTATTCGTTTGGCAACGCCGCGTAGGACTGGGCAAAAGAGGCCAACGCCGGCGCAAATCCGCCAAAACGGTCAAAACACCCCTTCGCATATTTCGGCTTAAGGCCTGTCAGGGCTATGAGGTCTTCCAGCGGCCGCCGCTGGTCTGCTGCGAAAGGCGCCTTGCTCATCTCCGCCCTTTTGCCTTCTCTTTGCCGTGGCTGAGAGCAGACAAACCTAGGCGTGTGTGTGTGTGTGGAACAACACCAAAGCACATTGATACACGCATATAACATCAATATATACGTGGAGAAGCGAGAGAAAAAGGAAAAAAAAGTAATGTATACACTAGGCTTGGCCTTGGCGGTGGCCTACCGTATTTTGCCAGAAACACACGAAAAAAACAACAACAACAATAAACAAACCAACACCAACAACAAGAAAAAACTGCAAGAGCGGGAAAGTCGGAGCGAAGATTCTCTGTGGGCAAAATCCGTCCTTTTATTCCACCTCGCTGGAATCCTTTTGTTGACGTCCACTTTTTCCGTCAACCGCGAGAACTTTTTCTCTTTTCTCTCTCTCCCCTCCCCACCCCCAACCTCTGGTATCCTTTACATAGGGCATACACCTGGCTCGTAAAGAAGTTGGCTCCCACGTCGCCATACATGTCATGGGTAACGTCGCACGCATACACATACTCACACACACACACAGAGGTTCTAACGCATGATAAGCCGCTTAATCTCTTTTACTGGCAAGCGCCTCGCTGTCCAGTTCACCGACCCCGGAGCGTAGAAAAACTTGAAGGTGAGGGCGTCCACTTCTCTATCGGTCAGTGAAAGATTCAGTCGCTCTCGCAGTGTCCATTTGAAGTCCTCAACGCTGAGGTGGCCGTCGTAGGTGTTGTTTGAAGTCGTTCTAAAGGCTCGAATGAGAAGGGTCCGACGGGCCTCGCTTTGCGAGATTAGCCTTCGCAGCGCCTCATCCCCCTCCCGCGCCGCCGCTTTGCTCGCTTCGAGGCTTCGGAGCGAGCGAAGAGGGCCTTTTTCGATACCGTCCCGCGCTTCACCCTTTGCAACGAAGTCTGAAACAAACTGCTGCAGCAAAAGGTTCTCGACAAGCTCTGACAAACTGACAACGCCGTCCTTGTCCCGGTCAAGCCGCTCCATAACGCGGTCCAGTTCGACGGCGTCCAGACGAGTGCCACATTCCAGAAAGAGTCGCTTCACATCCTCTCGCTTCAATCCGTCCGATGTGGATTTAAAACTGCGGAAGACGTCGGTCGCGCCTGAGAAGCGGTTAAGAACGACGTGCCGCACACGCTCCACAAGTTCCTGGGTATGGAAGTAGCTCTCCTCCATGTTAGGCATCCCCATCGCGAGATATCGCTTGGTCCGCTCGTCCATTTCGGTAAGTTCATACGTCGCCCCCGCCAGTTTCACTTTGGCCCCTACGTAGAGCTTGCCGGGTTCATTTATCTCTGGGACAACAGAACGGGCAAAGCACTTCCCACCAACGTGCCCGCTATTAGCCACGACAAGTTCGAACAGCGACACTGTGTCGTCGGCGAGGTAATAGCAAAAGAGAAACCTTCGACCCTCGTCCTCTGGAGACGGATTCACGCGTCGAGCACCAAAGCGGAAAACATCGTTTGTGTAGCGAGTAAGCTTGAGACGATCCTTCTGACCGGCTGTGTCTTCAAAGACCATGGTTGAAGCACCCTGGACACTCTTTATACCAGGCAAATGCGTCGTCGTTGGCGGCGGTGCTTTCGCAGTGGGGGCAAGTATGTCCGCCTCAGTGGGTGGTTTTGGGAAGGCGGGTTGTTTAATGCCCCTCGCCTCGTAGTACTCCCGAGTGTAGGGATCACAGTCAAAAATGTAGAAGTCTCTTGTGAATAGATTGACGGTTTGCCCCGTCCGCAAGTCTTCGTCGGTGATGTATGCGACGGGCGATCCAAGCGGAACGTTAAGTGTTTCGGTGTCGCGTAGTGCAGTCTTGGGATCTTTAGGGATAAGAGTCCGCCGAATGAAGACAGGGTTAGGATCGCGCCCATCGTTCCTTGCGTGTTCCAGCATAACAGAAATCGTCTTATCGGCGATGTAATACTGCAACCTAAAAAGGCGCTGCTCCCAGACTGCAAGGAAACGCAGCACCTCCCGATCATGCTCGAAGAAGTTGCGGGCCTTGTTGCGTTCCTCTGGCGAAAGCAGCGTGGCATGGGCGCCTGTGGAAGTTGCCGCAATAACTTCCATGGCGCGTCGCATGGCAACATGCTGCTCATCCATGGGGGCCTTCTCCACCCTGACGCTGCCCTCGAAGGCATCTTCTGGGTAGCCGAAAGGTTCGGGCTGCGTCATTCCCATCGCCGCACAAAAGTCACGCGTGGCGGCATCACAGTCAACAATTATGTACTCCAGCCCTCTCACGCGGATGGAGGAGCCGACGTAGAGAGAGAAGAAGTCCACGCCGTCAATTTTGCAGCGCGAGACAATTGTGCCAGCGGGGAGGCCGCTGTTAACAACGGCGGGGGTCTCCACCACGACGAGGGTTCCATCACGGAGGTAAAAGTGGAGCTTAACCTTCCTGACACGCATTCGCTCCACCATGCTCTCGTCGACACGCTCCACGTAGTACGCAAAGAAGCGAAGGACCTTGTCGTCCAGCGACTTCCACTCCGGGAACTTGGCGAGGATCTCCGCGCGGCTCAGACCGCCGCACTCCCCGCCCTGTCCGTCATCATCGCCCCTCCGCCGGGCAGCGTGGGCGTCAAGTACGCTCCGAGTTCCGTCTCGGATGCTGCAGTAGTGACGGCGAAAGTGCGTTGCCGGGGGGTGGAGCTCCGCGAAGCTGAACCCCGGCAGCTTCGGCAGGGCGTTGTACACCGTCTTCTCCATCTGAGCGCACACGCCGCTCTCTTCCGCTTACGCACGCACACGCACACTGTACGAAACTGACACGACCCGGCAAGCAAAAGAAGTAAAAAAGAAGTAAGATAAAAAAACGAAGGGGACACCATGAAAGCCAACGCAGCAAGGAGAATGAAGCAAAAACAGAAGTGTTCCTCTGTGCAAGCTGGGGCCTCCAACAAAACAAATCGCGCTCTCTCTCCCCCTCCATTAGAGGAAGAAAAAAACAACAACGGGCCCAGAAAGGGCATCCTTTGTTTTAATACACACGTGTGTCGAGCAAAAAAACTTCGGGTAGCGCCTTCGGCGGCGCCAGGGGTTAAGTTTTAGCCGCCAAGTAAGAGAAAAGGCTGCATGCGTCCGTCGGACACCGACACCAGCCCAGTGATGTTATCCACAACAACGTGGCTGACGCACTGCGCCACCTAGTTTGACAGCAGTCCCTTCCTTTTTTTTCAATCCTCTTCACAGCACAATTGACTCCAGACTCACGCAGGTATCCCTGCACCACGCACTTCCATGCCCATTCCATGCCCTGGGGCCACCCAAGACGCATCCCCCACACACACGGCTTGAAAAAGAGCGACGAGCGAGTGGACATCATATTTAAAAAAAACAAAAAAACATACGCAACTAAACCACAATAATAATAATAATAATAATAAAAGAAGAAGAGCATGAAGAGAAACCGGTTTTCGCACGATCGCACTTGAGTTTCTCCTTCGAGTGACGTCCCCTCCTCCCCCATTATCCACATCCTGGGGGCGAGAGAGAAAAAAAAAACCCGGGACAACACCAAAGAAAATTAAAAAACAAGTATTTTTCCTTTTCCTAGAAACAACAGGGGCATATAAATACTACTACATTTTTCCCTCCACCAAACAAACTCTCGACACGTAGGAAAAAAGAAGAAGAAGGAGGAAAAAAAAACACCTTCTTTTTCATTTCGCTTCTTCTTTCGCACTTATCCCGCCGCGCCGTTTCCGACACGCAGCCTCGCCGGTTGATTTGCATCTGCCGCGGGAAGGAGGCATAAATACCGCAAGAAGCCGGCGGCGCGGAAACTGCAAAGAGGCCGCTGCCCCGACTAAAACTTTGTCCGCGCGGCAATGGAGAGGGCAATCACGACAAAAAAGCGGAAGAGGAAGTACAAAACGGCGAGCGAGACCCACATAGCCCAGTCTGAAGACTGTTCCGTCTGAAACCCAAGTTGTTGCAAGACTTGCTCGCCGTTCTTTGGTTGGTCTCTGCAGTAATTCGGACTTTTGCCCTCGCCGTCGCAGTAGATGTGCGTGAGGTGCTTAAACTCGTTGCGTGTGAGCAAAATAAACGCTTGACGGATAAAAGAGGGTTTCTCCAGCCAGTACCAATATGGTTGCAACCGATCCGTGCTTGCCAGAAGCCCACCCGCAAGCGCAAGCGGCATCAAAATCACGGGCGCGGTAGCGGAAGCAACGATCAAGCTGGTAAACGAGGCACTGAGTAAAAACCCAAGCCCTGAGGCCACCTCTGTAAGTAGCGCAAGCACACCAAAGTAGTAGAAGAAGGCCCCCGCGTCGCGATATAAGCCCACCATCCAGTACAAAATAGAGCTCTCAATAAGGCAAAAGAACACACGCACAGGAAACTCCACCAAGGTTCTGCTTAAAAAGTACATGAACGGAGAGTATGAACCAACCATTTGCTCGCGTATGTACAAGGGCTTGTCCGCCATGAAGGAGTTAACCATGATAAACGTTTGCCCCATAGCACGATTCATTGTTGCCATGAAGATAACACCCTCACGGTCTTGAATGCCAGTAACATCATCCTTAACATTAATAAAGATGAGACCCACAATCACCGCAAAAAAGGCGGCCTGTACAAACTGCGAAAACAGGTAGACACGATTTCGACCAAGCTCCACGGCGGAACGGCGCATAAGTTCTTCAAATTGAATCCACGGAGTACTTCGAAACTTATCAAGGTATTTTTCAATGAAGTGCGCCGTGGAAGACTCAGAAGGGGTGGGATTTAGTTCAACAGCCGTTGTATGTGGCGTTCGCACACCATGTTTCAAGTACTTCTTCCATTTTTTAATGAGGATTTTCGAAGTATCCGGGTCTTGAAGCAGGGTCATGTAGAAATCGGTAGGGGTGTACCGTTCAGGGCAGGTGTAACCTATGGACTCAAAGTATTCCACAGACTTTGCCATCGTGCCATGGTAGGCGCATTGCCCCTCTGTGAGAAGCATGATGTCGTCAAAGTAGTTCAACGTCTCAGCCGTGGGCTGGTGGATGGTGTAGATCACCGTGCGGCCTGTTCGGGCGATGGTATTCAAAAGGTGCGCAATCTTCACTGATGTAACGGAGTCCAGACCCGAGGTGGGTTCGTCCAACATAATAATTTTAGGGTCACAAATAAGCTCCACACCAATGCTGGCGCGTTTGCGCTCACCACCTGAAAGACCAGCGATAAGGCCAGGGATGCCAACGATGGTGTCACGGCAGTGGACAAGGCGTAATTCTCCCAAAGACTCCTCAACCAATGCGTTGGTTTCTTTTCGACTGGTGCCGCGCCTCACACGAAGCGAGAAGCTGAGGGAATCCTCTGGCGTTGCACGTGGGGAGAGAATATCATCCTGCGCCACAAAACCAATCATCCGGCGGTAGCGACGCCTGTATTCCAAGTCACCCAGCTGGCGCTTCCCTGTGATCTTGAGGGTGCGGGAGGAGGCAAGTCGGTCAGAGATGGCGTTGAGAAACGTCGTCTTACCCGCACCACTCGATCCCATGATGGCGAGGCACCGCGACGGAAGCGCTGTCCCTGTGAGGTCACGAAGAATTCTCCTGCCATTCGCCGTATATGCCAAGTCGTGCCAGGAGAGGGGAATGGAAAAGCGTGCGTTCACGGAGCCTTGGCAAAGGGTCATCCCGGCGTCGAAGTGGGCGACGGACCCCTTGATGGAGAACCCAGGGACGAGGACGCTGCTGTTGTCGATTTTGGGCCCCGTCTCCTCATTCTGCTGCGCTTGTTGCTCATCCTGCTCCGACGATGACGCGGAGCTGGGAGTGACAGGCTCAGCCACATGCGCTCGGCAGCAGGACATTGTCGTTTCCGTCCGTCTCCCTTTTAAACCAAAAAATATTTCGTGTCAACCTTCGTAGTTTTCTTTTTATCAGTGAAAAGCGGCAACTTATACAGGCCGCAACACCCAAATAGGCATTCAGCGGCATACATGGGGAATAAGTAAAAAAAAAGATATGTGGGAAGCAATGGCGCAAAGGAAGAAGAGCAACAACCTTCACCCAACGACGCTCCGCACAACGCGGAGTGTTTGGCACCCTCGCGTGCGTGTGTCGGGCGCCCCCACCGCTGCATTGTAGTGTAACGCGTGTTTTAGCTGTCACTTGTTCACCAGGCCACAGAAACTCTTACACGAGGTGATGCGCCGAGGCCTTCAACTAAGTAGAAGAAGGGGGGGGGAAAGTTGCCCACGCATGTACTTTCCCCAGCTTCCTTCTCGTTTTTTCTTTCCCCTCCCCCTTTTTTTAAAAAAAAAATTACTTTGATCGTTAAGAAAGGGGAAAAAAAGAGAGAAGGATGAGGAAATGCAGGACGCGTGCGCATTATACCAGCAGGACCGCGTTGATGCAGCCGTCGTTCTCCGGGTTGTTGGTGACCTGCGCGTACTTTCCCCAGACCACCTTTCCCGAGGGGGTGACTAGGCCTAGATCCGAGACATTCACCTCTATCACCGTCCCCTTCGTGATGACGCCGAGGCCGGTGTACATCTTCCCCTGCGGATTCTTCTTGACGCCGATGATGGGCAGGTGAAACGTTGCCTTGAGCTCAGGGTGGGTCACGTGGGCCTTTTTAAAACGGAGAGCCATGGGGCGAATAAAACGCTCGTGCTTTGGCATGCGACGCGTGAAGGTTTCGCCGACAAATGTTACCTTATTCACCATCCGCTTCCACGACTTCTTGCCGCGCTTGCCGGAGGTGACCGCCTTCATCATTTCATCCTCGCTGACCGGCTTGACCTTCTCAATCGGCACTGCCCACTTGCCGGCCTTCTCCTTCCGCTTCTGTTTCAAGGAGTTGGAAAGCACCTTTGCGCGGTCCGCCTCGCTGCGGTCCATGAGAAAACTCGGCAGCGCGTTCCTGGGTCCCTTCTCCTTCACGCGCTCCGTGGTCTGCTTTTCCTCATGCTCGCGTATTTTTTTCCGGATTTCCGCCTTCTCCGTGTAACGCTGCTTGGACGCTATCTTGGCCTTGATGCCCCGCACCGTGCGCAGGAACTTCGCCTGCGTGTGGGCCTTGCGAGCCTCACGCTTGCGGACGCGTTCGGCGTGGTCGAGGCGACGGCCGTAGCGCTTCTGCGCCTGCTCAATGTATTCGTTTTGCGGCATTTCACCACACCCACCACTTTACAAAACAAAGCAGCAACAGCAACTACCAAAAAAGCAGAAGTAGACGAAAAAGTATGGAAATATATATAGGCCTACTCCGCCCTCCGCAGTCCCATGCTGTGGAGAGAAGAGAGAAACAGGAAAAAAAGTAAAAAAAAGGAGGAAAACATAGCAACGAGCACCAGAACAATTCCAAACGACGACGCCACAGCCGTCTGTTTGTTTCCACTTCCTCTCCATTCGTCATTCTCGGCCCTGCGCTCTCGTTGACTTCCACACTGACTAACGCAGGGGCCGAATCCAACGCCCCGGTCGATCACTGAGTCAGCTCCTCCTGCAGGTTGGGAAAAGCAATGGCATCCGCAACTTCCGCCACAAGTGCCTCAACTATGTGCTGTTCGTGCTTCGATAGGCGTGACACCTCGAATGCAGGGTACATGGCACAGGGAGGTTCCTCGGCTGGCGGTAACGCGGTCGCATACAACCGGGGGGAGGGATGGAACTCCTCTCCAGGCGGTTCCGGTGTCCAATACATAGTGTGTTGTTTCACTAGGCGGAGTCGCTGCTCTACGCGGGACGCGCTCCCGGATGCTGGTGCCGAGACTGGGCGCTCTCGGTATGCGTCCTTGTAACCAACGTGAGACGCTGCACCGCCTGACGCCACGTTGTCCCTCTTTGACCCGAAGAGCATTGCTAGTCGAGGCACCGCCTCCAGCGCGCGGCAGCAGTAGCAGAGGGGGAGGTAGAAGAAACAGAGAAGTAAAACAAAATAAACACACAAACACGTTATGCATGCGCGTGTATGCGGGAGGGAGGGCCACAAGGAACACTGCCCTCAAGCAAGGCAAGGGCACGGCCAGGCCCACCTTTTCTCCACTCTCTCCCCAAAACAATAGAAGAAATAATAATAATAAATAACTAAAATGGAACTCGGCAAGAGGGAATAGCGCGGGGAATCTCAGATAAGAGACCTTGTTTTCCCTCTTGAGAAAAACAATAACAATCTTCCCCCTCCCCTCTTGGGCTTCTCCTCTCTGCGTTAGTCCTGTTCTCTATGTGCTTTTCAAAAGCGCGGCAACGGCGTCCGAGTCCCGGTTGATGTAGCGCCTTCTTCCCCGTGTTATCGGTTCCACCTGGGCGACTGCCTTGCCGCAAAGCAAGTCACGAACGGAACTGTGGTCGTGAAATGAATGCCGTCCAGTTACCGCAACGGCCCTTGGCGCTTCTTCGTCGTAGGCGTGCAGTGTTGGGAGTTCCCTTGCCACCTCCTCAATCACTTCAATATCTGGTTCGTCCGCTGGAGACTCCTCCGGGCCAAGGGCGTCAAAAACAGACTCCTTGACATATGCCTCGCCCACATTCTCGCTGCCGCGTGGTAGCTCGTCAGCGGGAAGGGCACCACGCGGTGGCAACTTACGCGGCGGCTCCTTTTCAATATCCGAGAAGAGTCGGTCGCGCGGGGCGGAGGTGACAAATGCGGGGCGCGGTTCTATTGGCCTGGATGCGGCACTCTGCCGACTCAGCTGCGCGGTGGAGGGGCGGGAGGAGATCGAGGACGCCGTCGCGGGGCGGCCCGTGCCCATCACCACCGACGCTGCCGCCTCACGCACGGAAAGCGGCCACTTGCGGGAGTCAATAGTGAAAATGTCACGCCGCAGCAACGGGTCAACCTCCAGCGTGGACTTCTCCCGCTTGATCAGAAGAGTGGCGACGCCTTCAAAGGTTAGCTTAAACAGCTTCTGCCTGAAGAGCCCTTCGCCGACGTATGAAAAAAACTCACGAAGCGCCATGACTGCGGTACGTGCGGGGACCGCCGCGATGGCGACAACCTCTGCCATGCTGGCCTTCACGTACACCAGCCTGGAGGGCTCTAGTGGCACCTTGTTGGGGTCTAAGTTGTAGCGAAGGGCAAAGTTGCTGTCCACGCCAAAGTGAATGCGGCGCGCGTAGTAGCGATCGACCCCGTCCGAGACAACCGGCCTTGTTTCAAGCCAAAACGAGCCAAAATTGGCGACACGCACATTGTGTCCCTCGAGAAGGTGTTGTCGCACAACCATCGAAAGCGCACCCCACACACGCTCCAATTCGCTGAGGAGAAAAATTTCCTTCGCACGTTGGTCCTGGGAGCTCGTGCACTCCATCATGACGAGCTCGTTGGTAATGGCTCCCTGCGCGCTCAGCATCGTCGCCTTACCTTTCCTCCTCACTGCATGCAGTGCGACTCGACAAAACCACCCGCGGGCACAAGGCCGGGGGGGGGGGGTACGTGAGGGTAGAAAAGGAGATTGGGGAGAAAGACAGGAAGGCAGAGGGGCGGGGAACGCCCTTCACAACGACCACAATAGTTCAGTATGACACACCAACACAACACCCCCCGCAGGCTTCAGAAAGAAGACGCCTTTTTTTTTGTTTGTTGTTGTTGTCGTTGTTCGTGTTGTTGCTATTACCGGCTGCAAGAAGCCGGACCACCACTCAACTGTCCAACCTCAATAACAAATAAAAAAAAACTTGATGGATCCAGAGAAGTTTCCGTCTCTGTTTATTTTCCATTTTTCTTTGGAGGGAGTCATCGAGTTCCGCCGCAGCAACGTCAGTGGCCGAGGATCATATCGTGAACCTCTCTGGGTCCAGCATGAGGTCCACGAAATCACCGCCCTAAAACGAAAAAATATCCGTCAACTCTGGAGAGGCAGCTGGGGCGGCCACAGCTCCCGGAGAATACTCCGGCTGCGGCGAAAATAATGCCGGTTTTGAGGGAAAAATCAACTGATTCATGAAGTCCAACAAAAACCTTGCGGCAAGCATCAGCGAGCGCCACGCAGTGCTCAAGTAACAAAAGCCGCCGGAGCGCTCGAGCTCCAAAAGATGCTGCGCCACGAGGTCATCGACAAGCGGCGCGTAACGAGCCACCGGGACGGCAAGGAAGCGTCTGTACACACGTGTCGCCCCGCGGAAACGCGGGTGAAGCAGATAGAGCGACAAAATGATGCGACTGCACACGTAGAGGGCCCGCATGGAGAAGATGTACGCGAGGACGAGTGCGTCCAGCACTTCCAGCAGCCAGAGAAGTACCATGGCCAGCGTCAGGTTAGTGACGAGAGCCGTGTCCACCAGGCGTCCCTCGCGCGCGGAGCGGCAGAGTTGTGCTCCCATCACGATCGGCTTCACAGAGACAACCAGCCAGAGGACAAATTCTAGGGCGGCGCACCACATTGCCACACAGTCTGTAGACCTGCTTGCAGTGTACGCTGCTCAAGCAAACACGCGCACACAGAGAGGAAACAAAAGGAGGCAGAAAAGAATAATACGTGGCAGCCAAAATAAAGGAATTCAAAGCAAAGCGTACCAATCTCAAGGGCAGATCATCTCTCTCTCCCTCTCTCCCCCCAGCCAGCGAACGCGCAATAATGAAGTTGAAACAGTCAGTACGCAAGAATAATGGGGTAGCCCCCAAGAAGCTGAAGAACATTTTTTTTTGTGGTTGTTGCTTTCTTGCCGTCAATTTCATCCCTACATATCCTCCGCCCTTCAAACCGTAAGAGAACAAAACGACCCACACGCACGCACAGGCGAAGCAAAACCGCTGGATGGCGCGCAATCCACACCACATGTTGTTCTACTGGGAGACCGCAAGCTTCTTCAAGTGCTCCATGAACACCCCCAGTGATGCATCGTCTGTGTACACCAGTTCCCCCTCGTTTGTTCCGTATTTTTGCTCATTTTCACCGCCATACGACCGGCTTGGATTTATCCTATTGTAAAGAATGCGTGCGTCCGGGTCATCCTGACAGACGTAAATGAAACGAGGGGTGGGGTATCTACCGGCTAGCAGTATCTCGGCATCCGCCACAGGGACCTCTAAAAACTCCTTAAAGTAGGCGTATTCCTCCTGCTCGGCGTACCCCGCCTTTCGCCATGCCGCAATGGTTGAGCCAAGGTGAATAAGCACCTCAAAAAAGGTATCAAGCAGAAGAACGTTATCGGGTTGAATAGCCGCACTGTCAAGAAGCACAGGCTGCGGCGGTGCATCCATGCGGTAGCTGTACAAGGTGGGCTGAATTTGAATAATAGAATCCTGGACAGATGACTTGAGAAGCATCAGACGCAGAATGGCCGTCTCATCCGGGCTACAGTTAAACACCTGCAGGTACCCCGATCGTCGAAGGTGGTACATAAAGGCCGGAAAAAAGACAAACTGCGGCGGCAGCTTCAGTGTCGAGGGGTGATCCTTCATGTAGTCACCGAAGCGGCTGACGAGGCGCACCACCGTTCGATCTAACCATCGGAGGACGTCAAATAACGGGGTGGTGTCTGCCTTATGCAGCGCTTCACGTGCCAGCAGCACCGCCGCAGTCTCTTGATCAAAGGATGCGGATAGCTCGGGCATACTTGTGCTGCATTGCGCCTGATGCGTCACCGTGCACACGCGCGTTCGTAGTTCGTTCCCTATCTCATACTTTGTGATAAATTGGGCGTATCGCACCGCTTTCTTTGCTGCCTCAGACGGGGGCGCAGATGTTGTGTCGAAGTAAATCGCAAAATTTGTCGTGGAGTCCATCATGCACGCCGTCCACTGGCACGTCCCGCCCATCCCCACCTCGTATTCGGCTACAGAGGAGGACTTCTTGCCTGTGCCCACGCATTGCCCAATCACCCCCATCACCTTCCACGTCGACGAGGTGATGACGTCCATGGTGACGTTGAGCCCCATCTTCAGCGTTCCGTCCTCTCTGCGCTCAAAGAAGCGGTGCAGCGACTGACGAAAGGGCTCCTTACACCACGATTCGTCATTTAACACAACCCCCCCGGAGGCCTGAATGCAGAGCTTCATCTCCGCTATGCCTGTCTGATCCAATGAGGCGGTAAAGCAGCTTAGCGAGTGTCCCTGTTTAACAATGCGGTGCATGAGGGAGTCATAAAACGCACAGGAGGAATCCCAAAAAGATGCAGCGGCGGCACCGTCTCGAATATCCGCATGACCCCGAATAAATTTTTCTCGCGTGGTTTCCACGACGATGCCTGGCCCCTCAGTACATATGCCGGAGATAAAGCCTAGGATGCAGGAGCCTGTGTTGGGCGAGACGATCTCGAGAATGCTGGCGGCGGCGGAGAGGGCGGCACCTGTGCACCGCAGCGGACGGTGCGATTTCTGCACCGGCCACACATCCTGCTGCATATCCTCGAGAATCGCAGACGCCACGGAGGTTGCATTCGAGAGAACACCCACAAACTTCTGTGGCTCCCGCAGAACTTTTTTGAGCGCCTCCACCGTGACCTCTTGGCTGCCACGCAGCACTAACGAGCGCGGGTAGTCGGTGTCGCCGCTAAGCTCGTGCACCTGCACAGTCGTCCCGTACGTAATGAGGCAAATACGCACCTCCGCGGGGAGCTTGCTGAGGGCGTCCAGCGCAAACTCCTTCAACCCGTCAAGCTCACTCTCCGTGTCTACACAGGTGTCCAGCACGAACACAAACGTCGGCGGGTCACGCCTGACAGTGCTCACGTACTCCAACGTCTCATTCCACTGCAGAAGCTCCGAGGGCAAGTTCTGCTCCGTCATTTGGGCATATTGCGGGGGAAAGTTGTTTTTGGTTCCACAGAAAGGACACCCCCATGTTCTTGACCGGTAGTCAATGACGCAATACGGGTTTAACACGCCACCGCAAACGCAGCGCAAGGGTTCGTAGTACAGCTCCGTGCAGGGGGACCCGATTGGGGCGTAGACGCATCCAAGAGGGACCACCATCCGCGCAGCATCTATCCTGTTCGCGGGGTAGAGATTCCACGACCAGCGCGGAAGGTGCTCCACTCCGTGCCGCTGCTCTTGCTGCAAGCTCCCCGTATTTGGGTCCATGGTGAAATAAGGGATTGGATTCTTGCAAAAATTTATTAATATAAATATATATATATATATGTATATATATATATATTATTATGTGTGTGTAGGTAAGTATGTAGATATCCCCACAACAAAGAAAAACTTGAGAAACACTGGAGGAGGAGGAAGAGTCATACTCCCCACAAATGCGCGGAAGCAACGGGCTCCAAGCTGCAGTTTTTTTAATATATATATATATATATATATATTGCTAGCCCAGCGTCCAAAGCAAAATTAGCTCCCCGCAAGGGAAAAAAAACGAAAATGTGTATTGTTGTTGCTGTTGCTCTTTAAAAGAAAGAGCCAAGAACGTCATCTTCCTCCTTTTGCCCTGCCACAGAGGAGGGCATGTTCTGCACGTTTCCTTCTAGCGCGCCCCGCTCTGCATCTAGCCACGCAACGAGGGACGCCCCGCCGTCCAGTTTGCAATGAACAACCTCCCTAAGCTTCGCAAGCTGCTGCAACGCCTCCTCCCGAACAGCCGCAGCTCTTTCCGGTGAGGTGTGTGACAGGCGAAGACACTCCTCCTTCACCTCGTTGTAGCTTGACATCAGGCTTGCAATGTAGGAGAGCTGCCCCGGCATGGAGGCCCCCCCTGTCGCGTCACTAGGCTGCTCCGTCTCCTTCTTCACGCCGAGCTGGGCAATCCACGTACGTGGAAAAACATTCAGGATGGCCCACCACGATACCACCTTCACCAAATTTTGTTCAAACGCCTCGGCGTCTGCCCCGCCGAGCGCACGCACCGCCTGCACCGCGCCCGGAAGGGTTTTACTGACCGCCATCAGGACACTCCGCTTCCCCGCCTCTGGAACGCCGTTGGCGACGCACGTAAGGAGGAGCTCATGGATGACGTTGAGTAGTGCGCACCGCGTCTCGCTCCTCGTGGACGCGCTCCGCATCCTCTCATCGATGGCAGCCAAAATAATATCGGCGCTAGAGGCCTGCAACGCACACCACGTCGCCACGCTTATGATGGATCCCGCGGAGCCACCGACGAGGTCCAACCGACGCCCCACCTTCTCCTTGTTCATCGTGCCCGGATGCTACAGAGAGACGGGCCCCCAAAGAGCGAAGCCAAAAAATAAACAAAGCAAAGAAACGAGAGAGAGAGAGAGAGAGAGAGAGGGAGGGGGACGGGAAGG